ATAGAACATAGATTATGGATTTACTAGCAGCTAAATATTGAGTAGATATTCCCCCCCACCTAAAACTGGAGTGTTTTCCCTGTATTCTTTTTGCCAGTCAATTGGGACTACTGGTAAAAGGAGTCTTTACTTGGTTTTTCAAGTGATCGTGCCTTTCCATCTTTACTGTTAGCTTTTCAGTTGTATAACAGTAATTCTTGAAGATATTATCTAGATCTACTTAAAGAAATATAAGCAGGCAAAAAGACAACTCTTTCCTTTGGAAATTTTGAAGTAATTAGATGAATTCCTTTTTTTTTTTTTTAAGATTTTTATTTATTTGACAGAGAGAGAGAAAGAGAGCACAAACAACAGGGGGAGTGGCCGAGGGAAAGGGAAAAGAAGACTCCCTGCTGGCAGGGAGCCCAATGTGGGGTTCAATCCCAGGACCCTGGGATCATGACCTGAGCTGAAGGCAAATGCTTAACCGACTGAGCCACCCAGGAACCCCAATTAGATGAATTCTTAATGGAACAGATGATATATAAATCATACACAAAAGTGGTAGTCTCAGACTCAATCTTAAATTTGAAAGTAACTATAAACCTATTACAGTCTAGGTAGGTAAGACAAGTTGAAACACAACTAAACTATACGACTATTCCAAACTATTGCTTTTCTGATAAAATGGTGACTTGGATAAATGATTCTCTACCACTGAAAAGGAACCAAAGATATGGTTCCTTGCACATCAGATCTAAAAATAATAGAAAAGAAAGAAAAAGGTACCTCTGTGCTATAGCCAAAGAGTATAGAACTATATACTGTATGTGTTTTTTGTTGACTCATTAAATGATGGTGTTAAGATACACCCTAAGGAGTAATTAAACTTTATTAAGAGCTGTGAACAGTTTAGATGTACAATTTTATGGACATTGATAGAAGACACGAGACTCCTGGGTTAGAGACAAAAAACTGCTTATTACTCAAAGCAATAATGGAAGTCAACTTATCGGCATTTTGTTGCATTAATTCCTTGAGCCTAATTCCCACATAGCAAAATGAAGAGGGCCAGATGGTATCTGTACACATGATAGATTGCATTACAGGAAAGGAATCCAGAGCTTAGGGAAATCAAAATGGGCAATAAGCTATCTCTGTCATCCAAGAAATTATCTCTATCATCCAACGTGTGGACTATACGAACATCCTTGAAAGATAATCTAGAAAAAAGGGCAGTCAGAGCAACTGCTCAGAAACTACACAGAAACCTGGGAGACCTGTGGAGAATTGTCTCCTACAAACCCCAAGAAAAAGCCTTTCCTATGTTTGCTTGTTACACAACAACATAAAAACATGAAACTAATGTTTTATATAATCAGTGTTTTTACATGCTTACATAAAAAAATTTACAGAAAAGTGTAAAGAATAAAATACCAGTTTTATTTTTCATACTGTATTTAACATCAGCTAGAACCATCCTTTGATTTTAAAATATCTTGAGACTTTTTAGAGAATAGAATATATTCCTAGAGAGCTATGAAGATTTGCAAGGCTTTTCAAATTTTCCTTTAATTTCTTTCATGCCAGTCCAGCCTCTTTTGTGTACAACCTACCTATGTGTAGAACATTTACTCTTCTGTTTTCTCTCCCTTTGTTACTGATTGATTAAACCACATTTTTCTGTTTTGTAGCTGAAGGAGGATTTCAACTGTCATAATGAACACCTAATTAGGCAATTTTATTGTCTTCCTGCTATTGCTTTTCCCCCTGATGCACCCCTGAGGTCACAGTGATTGTTTAATGGACCAGAAAGCATCTGATGATAACACAGGACCTCTGGACTCCCAGATTGCTATGAATGCCTCTGAAGGTTCTTCCATTTGGCTTCCGCTGGGGAACTGCCATTCTGTAGGATTAATAGGCTGACCTAATTGAGGCCACTAATGAGCTATTCTTCTCTCTTGAAAGAACATTTCATCCAATTCCTACGTATACATAGGACAGCATCAGGGAGGTTCATTTTTATAGCTCCTTTGCTTTATGATAGCATTGAGTATCCTGGGAATTATTAAAAGCTTCATCATAAATATATAGTCATGTCATCTGCCTGGCCTCCATAGGCATTTGAATTTGAGACTCACTATTTAAAAGATAATAGTGAGAAAGAAATGGGAAATTGCTAAACTGTAGGCTTTGACTTATAGCTTGTAGTAGTTATCTACAAGTAGTTATCTATCTAATCCTAAAATTCTAACCAAATCCTTGCTAATTCTTCTCTTAGGGAGAGTTGAGGAAGAAGTGATCAATTTAATGGATGCAAAGATTATAGGGCATGAGAACCTTGATATATTTTACTTGATAAATAAAAATAAGTGCCTGGTATCCATTATATTAAGTACTAGGAAATGTACAATGTGAGATGAATTATGATTCTTTCATTTTAATAGCGTGTAACTTATGAGGAGAAAAAAAGATATACATGTGTGAAAAGTTATGCAGCAAATAAGACAAAATGAAATATATGATAATGAAAAACATATGTCATAAGGAATAGCAGAAAGTGATCAGTTACCAACTGGCAGGGATTTAAAAGAGTTTCAGTGTTCCCATGAGAGAAAGGGCTTCAGGCTGGGGGTGATCAAAGAAAGCCCTTATCTCAGTTATGCAAGGCATGGAAGCTGGTTGTCAATGTTGAGAATGCATGTATCCCAAGTGAGAAAACATTGAAAGGGAGGAAAAACTAAAGTCATTGTCTTCATTTAACTTTTTTCCTGGATATCTGGAATTTAAATAGGAACCTGAGTACATTTGGGAGTTACAGGCAATTTTAGCCAGAAAGAGAAAAAGTAATTATATGAAAACTAGTTATTATTCAAATAGTCCAGGAAATATTAGAATCCATGTCCAATTACATAAATGCAAACTCCATTCAAATAGAAAAAAATAGTTTTAGAAATCTAATATTTAATGTTGCAGTTAATGTATGAAATATTAGGCATGGCATTGGAGAAATGGGAGATAGAGATGATTAATAGTAACAATGTTAGAGTTGAAGTATGTGAGATTAGAAACATTTTATTGCAAGAGTTAAGTTACGAGGACCATCAGTGAGACTCCACCACAGTGGTTCTTAACCTTTTTGCCAAAAATGTCTTTGATATTGTAAGAAAGCTCTATTTCCTCTCTTTCAATATCTCCAAGTTCATGCAAACATTTTTATTCAATTTAGGGCATCCATTTCTCCCCTGAAACCCATACACATACTCAGGATTAAAGAATCTTGCTCATCGAAATCTGTTAAGCCACCATCTGTCACCACAGAGATTTGTATTGACTATTACACATCAGGAGTCCTGAGTCCTGCTTTACAAAGTGAGATGGGGCTGGGACAGATCCTGGACACCTTGGTCAGATTCTATTTATAGAAGGTTTTATTGTCAATATATTTACAGACTTATTCTACCTTTAAAAAAGAGAAGAGGAATGCTTTCCAGGCAGCACCATTAAAAATGCTCAACTCTGCTACCCTTGAGCTAGGCTTTCATTTCTCATGCCTAAATTTGCCCATTGAAGTTTGCATTCATTTCTGTGATTACTTAAATCTTCAGTAACCATCAAAGATTATATCTTGAGATGCATGGTTTGACCTTTATATTTTTATTCTTAATATGAGTACAATGTTCATATCAAGATATTCTGTTTGAATAATCTTGATTTTAGTGCTGTTCAAACCCAAACTGAGCTTTTAAATTGTTAATAACAATTCTACTTGGCACGTGCTATGGAATGGTTAGGGTCTCTGCATCCTATTTATCTTTCACTTTGTACTCTTTTCTAGATTATGGCCACTTGATTTTCAAACCACAACAATGTGAAAAGCTCTCAATGTACTTGCCCATGGAAAATCTTGACCTATCTTTCTATGATTGACTGATTAAACGTTGTCTTCAGCCTAGGAAATGTGTGCGGTTTCTTTTCTTAATATAGAGCATGAATTAATGGCATTGTAACTTTGTTGACCTCACGCGTCCCCTTTTTCACAACTTTCTTCAACACGTTTTTTCATTTGCAGATGTCCTGGGATCTCATGCTTTTCCCATAATGGAGAAGAACCATGGGATAAACCTAAGCCCAATTTAACTTTTGTACTAGCTTAAATACTTATTACCTAGGCACCTGTAGTAATCTGTCTTAAATTCACTATACTTCATCTTCAATATAAAAATTATAACAACTGCTCTGAGAAACTTATTATTGGATTTTTGGTTTCTCGTTCCACATGTAAGGAGCTTAGAAATCACCATTCTGTCCTAAGGACAAGTGAAAAGCTGAACAGACTGAAAACTCAATAACCCTTCTTAGATCTATAAGAGAAGGGAAGATGCAGGGCAAACCACTGCCCCCAAAACTGGAGAGACAGACCAATACTGCAAGTCACAGCTTACTGGAGCAGAGACTCACCAGTGGAAATTGTCACAGAAACCAGTGCTAGAGGAAGAAAGAAAACCCGACTCATAATTGGCAAATTACAGGAGTGCAGACAACTGAGAGAAACTTCAGGGGGACCCAGTCATAGGTGGGGGGCCCTACAATATGGTGAAGATTTACCTCCAGGAGTTCAACCAGGTTCCCGCAGTAAATATTGGAGAAAAATCCCTTAGGTCTTCTGGAGAAAGAGGGGAAAAGGAACAATTTTGAAATATGCCAGAGCAAGCACTCTGTTCTTAACAGAGCCTGCTGTCAGGCAAAACTAGCTAACCAAAATCTAATCTGCAGGGGGTATGATCAGAGCCTAACTGACCTGGGGAAAGGGAATTACCAAACTTTAACCCACTGTAGCCATCCAGTCCCATTGAAGCAGGGAGAAAAAACCTGAGCAACACTTATGAAGTTCACAGTTCAGAAGCTTAGGCTCACTAAAAGACTGAGACCTAATTGTGCTATAGAACACTTCCCCTCCCCCGACTCCTCACCACCACATCAGTAAAGATCTATTTACAGCAGTTCCTTTTACCCAGTACATCATGCCTGGCTATTAAGAAAAATTACAAGGCATAAACAAAAATTTTTTTGAAGAGACAGAACAAGCATCAGAGCCAGACATGGCAGGGATGTCGGAATTATCAGACTGGGAATTTAAAACAACTGATTAATATGCTAAGGGCTTTAATAGATAAAGTAAACAACATGTAGGAACAGAAGGGCAATGTAAGCAGAGAGATGGAAATCCTAAGAACCAAAAAGAAATGCTAAAGATAAAAATACACTGTAACAGAAATGAAAAATGCCTTTGATGGGCTTATTAGTAGACAAGACACAGCTGAGGAAAGAATCTCTGAACTATAGGATATAGTAATAGAATTCTTGAAAACTCAAAAAGCAAAGAGATCAAAGACTGAAAAAAAAAAAAAAGAACAGAATAGCCAAGGACTGTGGGACAACTACAAAAGGCATAATATACACGTGATGGGAATACCTAAAGGAGAAGAAAGAAAGGAACAGAAGAAATATTTGAAACAATAATGACTGAGAATTTCCCCAAATTAATGTCAGGCACCAAATCACAGATCCAGAAAACTCAGAAAATACCAAGCAGGAAAAATACAAAACAAACAAACAAAAACAAACCAAAAAAACCCCCACTATACCTAGGCATATCATTTTCAAACTACAGAAAATCAAAGATAAAGAAACTTATTGTTTCAGACCAAAAGAGATAATGGTAGTAAAAGTTCTTTGAAAAATGACAAAGTACCGTACACATTTAAGGGCTTTTTATTGTTATTTACAACAATAATAAGATAAATGAAATCTCTGATACTAAAATATTTGGTTCATCAATTCTGGAAAAAGATTGAAAAGGCCTCTTTCTCTGATTTTGGTTATGATACTGATGGTAATTAAAATAAACTTTGCCTTTTAAAATATTATTTCTTTTGGCATTTATATATTTATTCAACAGGCATGTAAGAACCCAGTGTCAGACACTAGGCTAAACATGCATGATACACAGATAAATAGCCAGATGGATTGGCCTGATGATGGCTATTAAAGAGGGCAAGTTCTGCATGGAGCACTGGGTGTTATGTGCAAACAATGAATCATGGAACACTACATCAAAAACTAATGATGTAGTATATGGTGATTAACATAATAAAAAAATTGAAAAAAATTCTTGGTCTAGTGAAGATATATTGGTTAGCAAAAATTATAATACAATGGGATAGAAGTATATACAGAGATTATTATAGATGCACAGAGAATGGGAAGGAGGCTCTAGCCTAGTGTTCATTCCACTAAGTGCAGCAATTCTTTCTCTACCTTTCCTTAAGACTGGAACTTGTTGCTGTGGCACCAGTTATGCAAAATAGAGACTGCATTCTCAGTTTGGGGACAACAGAGTAACATTTCACCTACTTAGAGAGGAGGCATAGTTCAAGGGTGGTAGAACTGGGCATTTGTAGAGACCTCCATTAGTTTTGCCAGTCTAATAATATTCTTTTTCCATTCTTTTGGTAACATATTCTTTTTTTCATGAGGGTATCTTAAGCAGTCACGGTAGTCTGACCCTGTTCTTCCACCATAGGATGGGTACATGACGCAATCCAGATCAAATAAAATCTTGTTTTGCCTTTTCCATCAGAGCTACCAGAGTAGAAGCTCTTTCTCTCCTGAAGTTACTAAACAGCTAATGTAGAGCCTGGAGCTATGACAGTCTCCTTTGCCACCATGGGAGTACCTGTCTGAGAATAACATCAATACAGATGAAGCAGAGCTGAAAGATGAAGACACAGAAATTTGATGACATTGTTTCAACCCTAAGATCCAGCCACACCTGAATAGCTGCCTCCTTTGGGCTTTCCACTTGTATGAGTTAATAAATCCCTTTCTGTGCTTGAGTTGATTTAAATTAGGTTTTGATCACTTGCAAATGAGAATTATTAATACAATCCGAAGTGTAGCTGTGAATCAGCCATTATTTTCTCCTTCCAGAAATTTGGACTGAAGAGAAAGCTGTAATGGTCTTGCTCAGCCATATGTCTGTGATAAATCAGAAATTACCAATTCAATGGAAAAGTCATTACTAGTTTTACATTATGGCTTTCTCGCTTAATATAGTCGTTTTCTTCTCCTTCATGTTGTCCATCTACTCTATGTACCCTATCGCAAATTGAGCTTGTTATTAATTCTGTGAAAGAATCCTACTCAATGTTAACAAGAATGACTGCCTTCAGCTGACAGGCCACTTGTTCAATATTGTTACTTCACATCTTTGACTTGGTGGTGGTGTTGGGTGGGAGGGTTGGGGGAGAGATGATTTTATACTGTTGGATATACAGACACAGATCTGGAAAGTTGAAGATAAAATTAGAAGAGAATTCAGTTTCCACAAAGTAGAATTATTCTGTTGTAAATGTCATGCCTTCCTTAACCTCAAAAGTGCCTCATACTGTTGTTTCCTGACTTGTTAATTTTAGCCATTCTGACTGGTGTGAGGTGGTATCTCATTGAGGTTTTGATGTTGGCGGGGATGCGGAGAAAGGGGAACCCTCCTACACTCTTGGTGGGAATGCAAGCTGGTGCAACCACTCTGGAAAACAGTATGGAGGTTCCTCAAAAAGTTGAAAATAGAGCT